GAGAGAGAGAGAGAGAGAGAGAGAGAGAGAGAGAGAGAGAGAGAGAGAGAGAGAGAGAGAGAGAGAGAATTGCCGTGTTATAACACCCGTGTGATTGTTTGCCCTTGCGTGATTGGTTGCCCTTGCTCGTCCAACTTCCGAATTATCTCCATGCTGGCTGCGTGTTTTTTTTTTGTTTTGTTTTGTTTTGTTTTGTTTTGTTTTCGTTTCCTTCTTCTGCTTGTTACATGGTTGTTTTGACTTTATCCGATTGATGATGACGGCTCCTAAATTGTTACCTTCTAGGTGAGCGATGCTGCGATGGCCATTGAATACCTTGCAGTATCGTCCTGTGCTTCTTCTCCTGTGCTTCTTTCTCCTTTTCCTTTTTCTTTTTTCTTTACCTGTTCTTTCCTGTCCTGTCTTTTTTCTCTTCTTGGGGGGGCCGCCTGCGCGGTTGTGGGGTGTTGGGTTGGTGAATCATCATCGGAATTGATTGCTTGAAAATGACATCGATTGATTGATTGATTGATCGATTGATTGATTGATTGATTGGTTGATTGATTGATTGATTGATTGCAGTTCTCGGTCCAAGCCGTCTACGTGGCAATTCAAGCCGTGCTTTCGCTGTACGCGAGCGGCCGTACAACGGGTATCGTTATGGACTCCGGCGATGGCGTGACTCACACCGTGCCCATCTACGAGGGATTCGCTATGCCCCACGCCATCCTTCGTCTGGACTTGGGCGGTCGGGATCTGACGGACTACATGATGAAGATCCTGACGGAGAGGGGCCACTCCTTCACGACCACGGCGGAGAGGGAAATTGTGAGAGACGTCAAGGAGAAGCTTGCTTACGTGGCCCTCGATTTCGAGCAGGAGATGCAGACGGGAGCGGGGAGCAGCGAGCTGGATAAGACGTACGAGCTGCCGGACGGCCACGTCATCACCATCGCCAACGAGAGGTTCCGTTGCCCCGAAGTGATGTTCAATCCCGCCTTGATCGGGATGGAGTCTCCTGGGATCGCGGTAACGACCTATCAATCAATCCAGAAGTGTGACGTGGACATCAGGAAGGACTTGATTGGGAACATCGTTCTCAGCGGTGGGTCGACGATGTTCCCGGGGATTAGCGACAGGATGACTAAGGAGATCACCATGGCGGCGCCAAGCACGGTGAAGGTGAAGGTGGTGGCGCCGCCGGAGAGAAAGTACAGCGTCTGGATTGGGGGGTCCATTCTCGCGTCGCTCAGTACGTTCCAGCAGATGTGGATCAGCAAGGCCGATTTCGAGGAATCCGGGCCATCGATCGTCCATAGAAAATGCTTCTAAGTTCTTTCTTTCTCTCTCTCTCTCTCTCTCTCTCTCTCTCTCTCTCTCTCTCTCTCTCTCTCTCTCTCTCCTGTCTCTTATACACATCTAGATGTGTATAAGAGACAGAGTGTGCTCTGTGTATACTTGTGTGTGCTCTGACTCGCCCGCAAACTGGGTTCGAAGCGCACAGATGCACGCTGCACCTCTTATGGTTCGGCATGACATTGTTATATCCGACCTTCCAGTTTGCGATGCGGCTGTTCTTGTTGTCCCCCGAATGCAACGCACCCTCATTTTGGCTGTATCTGGCCAGAAGTACAACTCGTATACATTCATGTTTTGGGTGCGTTATGTTCGGGGGAAGACTGTAGTGGGACTTGGAGAGAGAGAGAGAGAGAGAGAGAGAGAGAGAGAGAGAGAGAGAGAGAGAGAGAGAGAGGGAGTCGTGCGTTTTTAGAATTGGAAAGGTAGGGAAGTATAGCTGTTTTGGATAGAATAGGAGTAAGTCCGAGTAACTAAAGTACGTAGGTGCATTACCATTCCTCTCAGTCCGAGTAGTGGTCGCTGTGACTGAGCGGCTAGCGCCTGAGAGAAAAAAGAATCTTGGAGGAGGAGGAGGAGGAGGAGCATGCACGAAGACGAGAGGAGGAGCAGGACACGGAAGCGGCGCTAAAGGAGAAGGACGAGAGGAATCGAGTGGCGATACAGAGGAGAGAGTAGAAGAAGAACAGAGGAGAGGAGGAGGAAGACGAAAGAGGCGGACAAGAGCAGTGCAATTCCAAAGGAACGAGTTTTAGACTGCAGGCAAAATAGCCTCAGGACAGAAGTGGAAAACGAAGGAAGAGGACGACAGGATTCAAATGTGATTTCAGAGGAGCGAGTTTAGGCCAGAAAGAAAGAGAGACGACAGGAAGAAGGGCAAGCACTGCCAAGCAGGAGGAGAAGAATCACGCGGAATTTGCTCGTGATTTTAACTGATGTAACAATCGTTATCTGTTATACATCTGCATTTCCATTTGCGGTCCTAGACTAAGTGTATTCTTACTGGCAGTAGTTGTAGTCGTAGCGACAGTTGTTGTTCTTTTCTTGTTCTTGTTCTTGTTCTTGTTGTTGGTGTTGGTGTTGGTGTTGGTGGTGGTGATGGTGGTGGTGGTGGTTGTGGTGGGAGGAGGAGGGGGGGGGAGGGGCAGAGGGAGGGGTTAATTATTGTGGTGTGGTGCGGTGGCAATTTGGTGAGGTACTCCTATTGTGGCTCTTTCGGCTTCCCTCCCCTACCCCCCCACCCCACCCTCCCCCAAATTTCCCCCGCCCGGTGATGCTTGGTTCTTTTTAACTTAGAGATAATAAATATTTAGGATACTTAAAATAAATGATAGCAAAAATAGAAGCAGGGGTAGAGAAATAGGCGTGGTGAGGAGAGGGAGGAGGGCGGGGGGGGGGGGGGAGAGCTGTCTCTTATACACATCTAGATG